ATCAAGGGATAGCCATGCCACAAACCCTTCTCCTCCATTCTCCTTTTGGGATTTTGGGCATGCATGTAATCATACCCAGTGTGATTTTCAAGCCACCTAGTCTAGGCCTTGAGCTGTGCAGTCAGCATGTGAGTTGTAGTACCTTAACCCTCATGTCACCTGCTGGCCCATCACATTTTTGTTTTTAAGAATTAAACTTTATTTGTGTATTTATTTATTTTTAATTTTTACCAAAGAGGAGGCAGAGTGAGAGTGAGTGAGTGAGAGAGAGAAAGAGAAAGTGAGAAAGCAAGCCTCCAAGTCTGGGACTTGAACCACAATCGCCCATGTATGAGTCCAGTGTCCTTAACCACCACGCCACCTGCCGGCTCCATACATTTCTTTTTTTGGGTACTTAAATTACGGTTCAAAATTTTAAAGAAATGTTTATTATATTACACTTTACCTCCTTCTAGAATGCAAGAAGTGCTGGGTTTTATGGCACGCTTCTTCTTCACAGGAATGGCAAGACACGAAGGTAAAACAAGTGTTCAGCTTTTCAGAAAAGAAGACAGTGTTTTTATGAGGTCAGTGCAGCATATTAAGACCCTGATACACTCAGTAGGATGCTCCCCTGGAATTAGGAAACCTTAAGATCTCTGCTACCATTATTTTTAATGTATATCAGGACTCAATAATACTTGATGCCATTTGGAAAGAAATCTTCATTTTATTATGTTCTACCCTTCTAGTTACATGTACAAATTCAGCCTCACAATTACCAGGTTATCGCTTTTTTAAAAAGTTTATTTATGGAGCCAGTAGGTGGTATAGTGGTTAAGGTGCTGGACTCCCACATGGTTGACAGTGGTTCAAATCCCAGACTCAGTGGCTTGAAAATCACACTGAGCACATGTGCATGTGTGCCCAAAATCTCAGAAGAATGGAGAAGGTACTGCAGCATGGCCATCCCACCCAAGGAGTGATTTCTCACTTTCCCTCTTTCTGTCTCTCCCCAGTCAGTACATGGGGCCTATGGCAAAAACCTTTAAAAATATAATTATTTCTTCCATAAAAGAGGGAGACATGGGTCAGCAGGTGGTGTGGTGGTTAAGATGTTAGATCCCACGCTGCTGATGGCCTTGTTCAAGTCCTGGAACTGGTAGTTTAAGGGACATGCCAGGCAGGTGTGCATACATGCCACTAAAAACTACCGAGAGGAGAAGGGAAAAGTAATTGTGGGGAATTGTGGAGTAGCCTTCCCTCACCACTCCCACCCAAAAAAAAAAAAAAAAAAAAAAAGAGGGAGACAGAAATAAAGAAAGAAAGAGAGAAGAAAGAGAGGGAAAGACAGGTATCCCCAACCGGGTCTTCATGCCAAGATTCTACTCCTGCCTCTGCCAGCCAAGATCATGGGCTCATGTGCACCCATCCAGTGGGTACACCCGCCCAGTGCAGGTGCACCCGTGGAGACCTGGAAAGTGAACCTGTGACCTTCCCCCCAGCCTCAGCCCTGTAATGCTTTTCTGAACCAATTTTGAGACTTAGACGCCCATTGTTATTTTAAAGAAAGAACAAATATTGAATACATGTAAAAATTCATCAAACTCAAGATATGTATTTATTCTATCTTAATTATTAATGCTTATTTAAAATTTTTTTATTTTAAAAAATTCTTTATTCACAATGGTTTGTGCACGTACGTGAGAGCGAGAAGGGAATACCTCCTCCCAGTGTCTGGTTACACACGATCCCCTTCTTCCAGACCTCCAGTCCCTTGGATTGTAGGTGCATGTGTGCATGTCCAATGTGTTTCGGGTTGAGCAGGCCAGGATGTTAATCATAGTTGATATGTAGAATGTGACTTCTTCTGAGTAGTGTTCTATTGCTATGTCATGGAGCCAGCCCACATTATTTAGGTTTTTTAGAAAATTAGCTCTATTCCTTTTTTATTTTTAAAGTTGTTTCTTTTTTTTATTTTTTACTATAGGGCATGTGTGCTTGCCAGAGAAAGACAGAAAGAGAGGGAGAGAGACAGAAAATGAGAAATCACCTCCCAAGGGGGATGGCCATACCACAATCCCTTCTCCTTCATTCTCCTGGGCTTTGAGCATGCAAACATACGTACCTGGCAAGTTCTTTCCTTTTTTTTTTTTTTAAAGAATTATTTAGGGACCAGCAGTGGCATAATGGCTGTGTCGCTGGACTCCCACATAGTTGACCGTGGTTTGAGTCCCGGACCCAGTGGCTTCAACTCATGCCGGCACGTGTGCGTGCGTGACCAAGATCTCGAGAGGAGAATGGAGGAGAAGGAATCACAGCATGGCTATTCCCCCTGGGGGGTGATTTCTTGCTTTCTATCTCTCTGTCTCTCTCTGTCTTCCTGGCGAGTGCTCGTGCCCTATAGCAAAAACCTCTCCAAAGAAAAATAATGATTTAACTTTTAATTTGTTGCTATTATTTTTTAATTTAGCCAGAGAGAGAGAGGGAAAGAAAGCAAAGCCGCCAGGTCTGGGACTCAAACTGCGACTGACCACATATGAGTCCAGCACCTTAAACCACTACACCATCTGCTGGTCCCTCTAGCATGTTTTTTAAGCCACTGGGTCCAGAACTCAAACTGTTCAATTGGCCATGCGAGATCCAGCTGCCTTGACCTCCATACTACCTGCTGGTCCCACTAGTTCTATTCATTTTACCTAATATTCTAAATTTTCAAAAACATTACAAGGAGCTATGAAAAGCCACAATTTAAAATAGAAACTAAATAGTTTCTAACACTGTATTTTAAAATTTCCTACAAAATATCTTTCTTCTTTTGGAGTGGAATGTCATTTTTCCTCTAAAGCAGTATTTTATTATTTTTAAAAATTAAAAATAATTTTTTTTAAGGTTTTGTTATATGGTACGTGTGCTCGCCAGAGAGAGAGAGAAAAATCACCTCCCAGAGGAGATAGTCACACTGCAATTTCTTCTCAAGATTTTGGGCACATATGCACACAAGCCCCATATTATTTTCAACTTGCCAGGTCTAGGACTTGAACCCCGTAGGTGGGCCATGTAAGATCCAGTGCCTTAACTTCCAGGCCACCTCTGTCTCCTAAAGAACCATTTTTAAATTACCTATTTGGGTCCTTAAGAAATGATCAGCATGAACAAGAAAACAGCAAAATTTAACTCAATGGGACAAACATACCACAATAAGATTATGATTAGAATTAGGAGTAGCATATCTGGAAGGCTTGTCACAGTGCTGCCATTTCTTCTGCCTTTGGACTCTGTGTCTCTCACAGAGCTTCCAGCAGTGCCATGCTTACGACAGAGCATCCAGAGGTTCATGACCTCTGTGGTCCGTAGAAGCCACTATGACTATGGCCCAGGGAAGAATCTGCCATTTTCAGTGGAAAGCAAGTGGCAATTACTCATTATGATGACTCTGTACTTTGGATCTGGATTTGCTACACCTTTCTTTATAGTACGACACCAACTGCTTAAGAAATAAGGATGTTGGGAACCAGCAGTTAGTGTGATGGCTATGTCGCTGGACTCCCACGTAGTCGACCGTGGTTCGCGTCCCGGACCTGGTGGCTTAAAACTCACGCCAGGTGCATGTGCATGCGTGCCCAAGATCCCGAGAGGAGAATGGAGGAGAAGGGATTGCAACGTGACCATCCCCCCTGGGGGGTGATTTCTCGCTTTCTGTCTCTATGTCTCTCTCTGTCTGTCTGGTGAGTGAACGCGCCCTATAGCGAAAACCTCTCCCCCCCCCCAAAAAAAAAGAAATAAGGATGTTTTGGGACCGACAGGTGGACTGGTGGTTAAGAGTGCTGGACTCCCACATGGCCAACTGCAGTTCAGATCCAGAACCTGGCGGCTTGCTTTCTCACTTTCCCTTTCTCTCTCTCTCTCCTGCTCTCTCTCTGTCCCTCTATGGTCAAATTAAAATAAATAAATAAAGTTAAATAAAATAATTATTTAAATAAAAAGTGGAAGGATGTTTCATTCATCTACTTAATAGCTATGAAGAACATTTTAAGAGGTGCAGTCACAAGCTCTGAAAAAAAATGGATTAAACTCTTAAACTCATAGCACACTACATATATTTATAAATAAACTTATGACCTGGGGGCTGGCAGGTAGCATGGTGGTTAAGGGCACTGGACTCCCACATGGCTGATTGAAGTTCGAGTCCTGGACCTGGCAGCTTGCTTTCTCACTTTCCTTCTCTCTCTCTCACTGTCCCTTTTTGGTCAAAAAATTAAATTAATTAATTAATTAATTAATTCTTATAAAAAAAATAAACTTATGACCTGAAAATTAAAAAAAGAGTAGCATATCTGGGGAACAGCAGATGCCATATGGTTATGTTGCTGGACTCCCATGTAGTGGATTGCAGTTCGATACCCAGACCTGGTAGCTTGAAACTCACACCAGGCGCATGTGCGTGTGTGCCCAAAATCCTGAGGAGAATGGAGGAGAAGGGATTGTGGAGTGGCCATCCCCAAGGGGGGGGTGATGATTTCTCGCTTTCTGTCTTTCTCTATCTCCCTGGAGACACGTACCCTATAGCAAAAATATCTGGAAGATTAATCAAGGCAACAAATGCTATTATAAATTTTGAAGATAGGTTGGCCCCATGGCCCAATGGTTAAGGGAGTTGTGTCCCACATGACCAATGTGGTTTGGATTCCAGCTCTGGTGGCTTGGCAAAACATATTGGGCAAAGTGTGCATGTCCAAAATCCTGAGAAAATGAAGAAAGAATTGTGGTCTGACCATGCTCCATTGGGGAAGCTTTCTCCCTCTGTCCCTGTCTCTGTTTCTCTCTAGAAACTGCATGTACCTTCTGACAATTTTTCAAATGTCTAAAAACAAATGTAAATTTTACACCAGCACCTGGCATGGTGGTTAAGGCACTGAACTCCCACATGGCTGACTATGGTTCAACTCCCAGATCTGGCAGCTTGAAAATTACGCTGGGTGTGGGACCAGCAGATGGTATAATGGTTATGTTGCTGGACTCCCACATAGTTGACTGTGGTTCCAGTCCCAGACCCAGCAGCTTAAAACTCATGTTGAGTGCATGTGCATGCATGCCCAAGAACCTAAGAGGGGAATGAAGGAGAAGGGATTATGGTATGGCCATCCCCCCAGGAGGGTGATTTCTCATTTTCTGTTTCTCTGTCTCTGTCTCTCCAGCAAGCGTGTGTACCCTATAATAAAAATCTCTCAAAAAAAAAAAAAAAAAAAAAAAAAAAACCCCCTCTGGGCACATGACTGTGCACATACCCAAAATCCCAAGAGGAAAAGGTATTAGCATTGCTATACCCTCCATGGGGTATAGTCACTTCTTCTCTCTCTGTTGCCAGTGAGTGCATGTACCCTAAAAATAAAAAATTTTAAAAAAGAAAAATTTTAAGAAAAAAGAAGGTAGAGCAAAGAAACAGATTCTCTGTGTTCACTGTTAATTCCATCAAACAAGTTAAACACTTAAGAACAGTAAAAACAGAATTTCCCTAAATTAGATAGGCTATCTCTGGGGAAGACAATGAAGTAACAAAGTCAAGGAATTTAAATCCCAATATGCTAAGGTACTGGGTTAAAAAAAGAAAAGGGGGTCAGGGACCACCAGTTAGCACAATGGCTATGTCGCTGGACTCCCATGTAGTCGACCGCGGTTTGCGTCCCGGACCTGGTGGCTTAAAAAAACTCACACCGGGCGCGTGTGCATGAGTACCCAAGATTCCGAGAGGAGAATGGAGGAGAAGGGATTGCGGAGTGGCCATCCCCCCTGGGGGGTGATTTATCGCTTTCTGTCTCTCTGTCTCTCTCTCTCTGGCGAGCGCACGCACCCTATAGCAAAACCTCTCAAAAAAAAAAGAAAAGGGGGTCAACCAGTGATCCAGGTAACTCAATTCTCCGCAAAGCCGGACCCACATTAGAAAGTCCCAGGTTCACTTCCTGAAGCCTCCCTGTATATTCCAGGTGCACACATGTGTGCCTGTGAGCTTATGACTCAGATTGGCTTAGGTTGGGAATAGGATCATGGTGTGAAGACCCTCTTAGGGATGTCTACTTTCTCAGTTTCTTTCTCTCATAGAAGAAATAAATAAACTTAAAGAAAATTAGGCAGACTTCAATTTCTGTCTTCCAGATTATAAGATCTTTCTTCCTCCTACATCTTTCTAAACTTCTCACTACTATAGGAATGAGGCCAAGAGGGATTCTTTTTGAATGACAGAATTATTTAAGAACATATCCCAAGATGCCGAGAGGAGAACGGAGGAGAAGGGATTGCGGAGTGGCCATCCCCCCTGGGGGGTGATTTATCGCTTTCTGTCTCTCTGTCTCTCTCTCTCTGGCGAGCGCACGCACCCTATAGCAAAACCTCTCAAAAAAAAAAGAAAAGGGGGTCAACCAGTGATCCAGGTAACTCAATTCTCCGCAAAGCCGGACCCACATTAGAAAGTCCCAGGTTCACTTCCTGAAGCCTCCCTGTATATTCCAGGTGCACACATGTGTGCCTGTGAGCTTATGACTCAGATTGGCTTAGGTTGGGAATAGGATCATGGTGTGAAGACCCTCTTAGGGATGTCTACTTTCTCAGTTTCTTTCTCTCATAGAAGAAATAAATAAACTTAAAGAAAATTAGGCAGACTTCAATTTCTGTCTTCCAGATTATAAGATCTTTCTTCCTCCTACATCTTTCTAAACTTCTCACTACTATAGGAATGAGGCCAAGAGGGATTCTTTTTGAATGACAGAATTATTTAAGAACATATGCCAGGTATGGTTTATGTTACTCACAGGTAATAGAGTCTCTATAGAACAAGCTTAATAATACTCTGCTCCAGGAAATGAAAAAATAGTTTGAATAATCAAGGACAAAACTTCCTCCTTCAGAAACCTTACGCTACTCCTATGCAAACTCAAATGACCAAAATATAATAGATAATAATTCAGTGAGACATCATAACCTTTAAAAAATGGTTTTGAATTCATTTTCCTTTTAGAAGTATTAAGCTTAGGACATGTTATGCCATCCATTTCAAGCTAGATATCAAATAAGAAAAGGAATACACTCAGTTCACATCTGCTGTAGGTTAGGGGCAAGGAAGTGTAGTTTCCCCCCCCCCTTTTCTTGCTATGGGGCACGTGCACTCACCAGAGACAGAGAAAAAATGAGAAATCATCCCCTAGGGGTGATGGCCATGCCACAATCCTTTCTCCTCCATTCTCCTCTTAGAATTTTGTGCATGCAAGCGCACATGTTCAATGTGTTTTTCAAGCTGCCAAACTACACAGTCAGCCATGTGGGATCCAGCTGCCTTAACCACCCCACTGGCCAGCTCCAGGGGTGTAGAGCGTTTTTTTGTTTGTTTGTTTGTTTTTTCTTTTTAGAGAGAGATTTTTTGCCATAAAGCATGTGCACTCTCCAGAGAGACAGAGAAAGTGAGAAGTCATCCCCCAGGAATGGCCACATTGCAATCCCTTCTTCATTCTCCTCTCAGGATTTTGGACATGCATGCACACATGACCAGTGTGAGTTTCAAGTCTCCAGGTCCTGACCTTGAACCATGGTCAGCTATGCGCAAGTCTAGCGATGTTTCAAGTCTCCAGGTCACAGACTTGAACTGTGGTCAGCCATGTGGGAGCCCAGTGATGTAACCACTCTGCCATGTGCTGGCCCCCAGAGGTGTAGATTTCTAAGAGGAGATGGCCACAGAAAATTTTAAATATTTTTATTAAACAAAGGAATTAGAACTGAAATGTGATCTCCTACAGTCTTGTCACATCAAGAGATGACAGTAAACATAGCACAATAATCCAACGATTAATGGTACCATTTCTAGTTTTACTCAAGTGTTTATTTTGGCCAAAAGAGTATACACATATACACAAAGATGCTATTGAGTTTTAAGCATTCACACTGTAAAATAAGCTACACTTCCTCCTTTTCAATTGAAGTGATATTTGAATCTCATGTGTCCATGAGCCAATATTTATTTTACTTGGCTTTCTAATGGGTCTTCAACATTTCTAAAAGTGTATTTGGCAGTTGGTCATTCCCCACAGAGGGTGTGACGAAGATGAGACATACTATTTGGAACAGATAGATAAGATTAAAATAAACACCTGAAACACAGCCATAAGATGGGTTTTCACAGCAGGTGGACCATAACCAACTATTAAGTCAAAGAAAAAAAAGCTCAGCATAGTAATGCAGATGGCAGGGTGTAGCTGCATGATGATAGAGCCATATGGGAAGGCCCAGGGTTCTGATTCCAGGTGGATCTGAATGTGTTGGGGACACACATTCCTGGTTGGCTGGGAATTGGGGGAAATGGTAGTATAGCAGGACTCTATCAAGGGTACTTGTCTCTCACTTGTGAAAAAAATTGTTAAATAAAAAGCAAACAAACATAAGAAACTCAGTATTGGGGACTGGATGGTGGTACGTGGTCAGACATAATGCTCTGTGAGGCTGACCAATGTAGGAAGGTTCTGGGTGTAAGTCTAGAGACCTGAGTATACTTGACATGCCCATGATTCAGGGCTGGCTGATGAGAGGGGTAGGTCATGGCATCGAGACCCTATTGGGGATGCTCTCTTTCTGTCTCTCTCTCTCATGGGAGACATAAACTTAAAAAAAAAAAAAAAAAGTCAAACAAACGAAAGACACTCAGCATTCACTACAAGAGGTTTGAAGAAACAGGGTCTTTTTTAAAAACAATTATTTTATTTTATTTATTGTTATTTTTTTTTTGGAGAGGTTTTTTTTTTTTTTTTTTTTGCTATAGGGTGCGTGCATTCGCCAGAAAGACAGAGACAGAGAGACAGAAAGCAAGAAATCACCCCCCAGGGGGGATGGCCATGCCGCAATCCCTTCTCCATTCTCCTCTCAGGATCTCAGGCACGCATGCATACGTGCCCAGCGAGTTTAAGCCACCGGGTCCGGGACTCAAACCGCAGTCGACTACATGAGAGTCCAGCAACATAGCCATTACACTAACTGCTGGTCCCTTATTATTTTTTAATTTGACCAGAGACACACAGAGAGAGAGAGAGGGGGAAAGTAAGAAAGCAAGCCACCAGGTCCAGGACTCAAACCATGGTCATCCATGTGGGAGTCCAGTGTCTTAATCACCACACCATCTACTGACCCCGAAACAGGGTCATTTCTCTTGGGCAAGAGAAGTAGCACACAAAACACTTTATATTTCTATTAGGTCTACTCTCTTTTTATTTTTTTAGTTTGCTATAGGATACATGTGCTCACTAGAGAGACAGAGAAAAAGAGAGACATAGAGAAAGTGAGAAATCACCCTCCAGGGGGAGAGCCATGCTGTAATCAATCCTTTCTCCTCTGCTCTCCTCTTGCGGTGTTGGGCACACATAAGTGCCAGTGTGTTTTTCAAGCTGCTGTGTCCAGAACTTGAACCATGCAGCTTACCGTGTAGGATCCAGCTGCCTTAACAAGCACACTGTCTAGGTGGCTCCTAGATCTACTATCTTAGCTACTTATACATGCAAAACAGCACTTATAGTCCAAGTAAGAACTTAGCTAGCATTTAACAGTCTTTCATTATGTTCATCGCTACATTAAAGAAGAACTCCACGGACAAGCAGATGGCATAACGGTTACATCACTGGACTCTCACATAGTCGACTGTGGTTCAAATCCTGGACCCAGCGGCTTAAAACACCAGACGCATGTGTGTGCCTGCCCAAAATCCCGAGGAGACTGGAGTAGAAGGGATTGTGGTGTGGCCATGCCCCTTGGGGGGTGATTTCTCACTTTCTGCCTCTCTGTCTCCTTGGTGAGTGCACACACCCTATAGTAAAAATATCTCTTGAAAAAAATAGAAAAAAAAGAACGAGAAAAACTCCAAAACATATGCTGTTTTGGTCAAAAAATTTTACGTTGTTGGGACCAGCAGGTGGCACAGTGGTTAAGGTGCTGGACACTCCAACATGGCCGACCACAACAGACCTGGTGGCTTGCTTTCTCGCCTTCTCTCTTCCTCTCTCTGTGTGTCTCTCTGGTCAAATTAAAAATGAATGAATTGGGGCCAGCAAGTGGCATGGTGGTTCAAGGCACTGGACTCCCACATGGCCGACCACGGTTCAAGTCTTGGACCTGGGGGCTTGCTTTCTCGCTTCCTCTCTCTCTCTCTGTCTCTCTCTGATCAAACTGGAAAATAATAATAAATAAAAGTTAAATAAAATACTTCTTTAAAAAATGAATGAATTAATAAAGTCAAATAAATAATGCTTAAAATTTTTAAAAATTGTTATTTTATTGTTAATTTGTTATTTTATTATTAGTTTGCCAGAGGATGTATGCATTCAAAGGAAAGAGAAAGAGAGGGAGAAGAGAAAGCATCCCCCGTGGGGAATGTTCTTGCCCCAATTCCTTCTCCATTTCTCTCTCTTTTGGGATTTTGGGAATACATGCACACACACTCAGCATGTTTCTCAAGCCACCAGGTCAGGGACTCAAACCATACAGTCAGTATGTGGATTCCAGCTCACAAAACCACTAGTCCATGGGCTGGTCCTAATTGTTTATTTTTTTTAATTTGCCAGAGGGTGCATGTGCTTCCCAGAGTGAGGAAGAAGGAGAAAGCTACTTCCATGAGGCATGGCCACACTTCTGTAATCCCTTCTCCTAGGTACTTAAATTGGTTATTAGTTGAGGTTCTGGGTACTATACATAGAGACAGAACATTACCAACAGAATCTGATGCCCTGAATTCTCATTACAGTAAAATTATAACATTGATATTTTCTACTGTTGCTTTATTAAGAGAATTGGGTTCATTTCCATTGGAGACATTGGTGACAAAAATCAAAGCAGAATTAGTTTTTAGGCAACCCACAAGAAAATGCTGGTTCTCAGGATATACAATACTGATTTAGCAGAGCTAAAGCAATCTTCTAACAAGTTAAAGATCTACTGTGGTTAGTTTTATACTATGTCAGCACAAAGATGAATATTTAGTGGCTGCTCATTAACACTGAATAAAGACAAGACTTTTTAGTTTATTATTTTTTAGAGAGACTTTTGCTATAGGGTGTGTGTGCTTGCCAGAAACAGAGAGACAGAAAGTGAGACATCACCCCCACCTAGGGGGTATGGCCACGCCGCAATCCCTTATCCATTCTCCTCTTGAGATTTTGGGCAAGCACATACCCATGCCCAGCCTGAGTTTTAAGCCGCTAGGTCCGGAACTTGAATGGCGGGCAACTACCTAGGAGTCCAGCAATATAACTACTAGGCCATCTGCTGGTCCCTAGTTATTCTATTCTTTTTTATTTATTTTTTTTGGGGGGAGGGAGGTTTTTGCTATAGGGTATGTGCGCTCACCAGAAAGACAGAGAGAGAGAGAGAAAGCTAGAAATCACCCCCCAGAGGGGATGGACAATCCTTTCTCCTCCATTCTCCTCTTGGGATCTTGGGCACACACGCACACGCACTCGGCGTGAGTCTAAGCCACCAGGTCCGGGACTCAAACCACAGTCGACTACATGGGAGTCCAGCGACATAGTCATTATGCCAACTGCTGGTCCCCCTAGTTATTCTATTTTTGAATCAAACCATTAGGGTGAGTCACAACACACCAGAGGCACTAAATGCCACCTCCCATGACTTTAGGGTTTGGAACACTGAAGTCTTAAACAATAATGGACTGATAGACTAAAGAGGATGGAAGACACTTAATGCACAATTTAAACAAAACAAATGAAAAAGCCTGGGTGGGACTTTCCAAATGGAGGTATTTCCTAAAAGCAGTATATCTCAGTCCCAACCTAGCTGGTATAATCTTACTTCTTCTCCACATTTTTTTCTCTATTCTCTTCTTTTTGGTTTTTGCAATAGGGCATGTGTGCTCATCAGAGAGAGAGGTAGAGAGACAGAAAGTGAGAAATCAACCCCTAAGAAGGATGGCTTGCCACAATCCCTTCTCCAATCTCCTCTCAGGATTCTGGGCAAATTTACACACTTGCCCAGCATGATTTTCAAGCCTCTGGGCCTGGGTCTCAAACCACTGTTGATCATGTAGGGGTTCAGCACCATAACCAGTGCGCCACCTGCTGGCCCCTCTCTATTCTCTTTAGTTTAATTATTCTATGCTGAAATGTAACAGTTTTAGTGTTACTAATCTATTCTAGGAAGTGGCTAGTGAACCAAGAAATAATGAACAAAGTAGACACTTTTCAAACTTAACCCAAGATCTGAACAAGGTGTATTTAATGAAATGAATTGTTACATGTTTCATATGCCACAGACCAAGGGCAACAACTGTAACCTAAAGGACTGAGGAAGCCAGTTTCAGATTCCAATCATTAAATAGATAAAATTACTATTTTAGGAATTAGTCAGTGGTGCAGCAGTACAAAAATTCTGTAATTCGGGACCCACAATCCACATGGGAAGGTCCCACAGTCCACATGGGAACGCCCCAGGTTGGAGTCACAGGCTTTTCTGAACATTGCACAGGTGTGCCTAGGTCCAGGCTAGCTGGGGGTGGGGGTGGAGGGCAGATATGGCAATGAAGACCCCATTGGAGGTACCTGTCTCTCTCTCTTTCAGGAAAAAATAAACGTAAAAAAATTAGTATTTAAAAATAATTTTTAAGATTTATTTTTTTATTTATTATTATTTTAAATTTGATCAGAGAGAGACACAAAGAGAGGGAAAGGGGAAGCGAGAAAGCAAAGGTCCAGAACTTGAACTACAGTCCGCAATGAGCAAGTCCAATGTCTCAACCACCATTCCACCTGCTGGCCCCTAAAATAATTTTAAAAGGCATACTAATTAATGAGGCCAGCAGGTGGCGGGGTAGTTGAGGTGCGGAGCTCCCACATGGCCTACCGTGATTTGAGTCTGGAATCCAGAGGCTTGAAAATCACGCCCAAAATGCCCACGGGCGAATGGAGGAGAAGGCGGGATGGCCATGCAGCAATCAATCCCGTCTCCTCTCAGGTTTTTGAGCATGTATGCAATCCGGCCAACAGCCTCCTTAATTCCTTGTAAGTACTTATCTCCTCTCTCCTAAGTAATCTTTTCACAAAGCCACATCTGAGGGTTCCAAAGCTTAAAATAGACAAACTCTCACAGAAACCTCTGAAAAAGTTGGCACCTCCTCGGGTTAGAAACTTCATTCAGTACTGGTTACCTAAACTCGAAAGCAATGCGCGGGGGATTTTTCTATTTACAGAGCATCATGATAGCAAACGTGGAGAAGCCCCACGCATTCAACGCCACCCCTGCACACACCTAGTTGTTCGTCTGCCCTGGCTGTTTTCCTCCATTCCCCCCCGACCCCCCCGCCAAGCTCTACGATGGACTAGCCATGTACAAGCCTATATTTTACCCATCAAAAAGCCCTCCCTCGATATTCCACCTGCGGCACTAATCCCCCTTTCCCTCCCTAATCCGGAAGCAATTTCTCAGTAGTCACTTTTTACCGAAATAAAAGTTCGTCCCACGTTTTCTAACAGCACGTCCCAAATACAACACCTTGCCTTTTCTCAAGGCACTTTCACTTTTATCATTTGATCCTCGGGAGAATTCTGGGGATTGGCGTGAAACTAAGTCTGGGGGTGCAGAAGTCTCTGGCTCGGGGCTGGACGAGGTAAGGAGAGAAGGTAAGAAGGCGCTCCCTTGACTGCATCTGCACGACCCTGAGTCCAGGACCCCCTTCCGCTTTGCGCCCGGGCCCTGCTTTCTCTGCCACCCCTTCCTCAGCACCCCTCAAACCTTTTCAAGCTCACCCCCAGGCTCTGGCCCTCCCAGTGCACAGCCCCAGGGACCCCAGAGTCCCCCTGGCTAAGGGCCCCTGCAGGTGCCACGGCCCACCCGCGCCCTCGCTGCCTGGGGCTCCCGCCCACCGCCC